TGGGACCTGTTCCCCTGCTCCTGGGTGCCACTAGCCAAGTCAAGTGCCTACAGACTGTTGTATCCCTGTGCCCAGCCCTGCTGTCCTCTGTCTGCATGCCCAGCCCCTCTGCTCTGAGCAGCCATGGGCAACTTCTCCTACTCCTGGGAGGGCTTGTGCTGTTTCTCAATGTTGCTGAGCAGAGAGGCAGCTGCCTGCATCACAGCTGCAGGGCTGCAGTCCCATTCCAGTGTTTCCAAAGGAACTTCCCCCAAGTGCCTACATCTGGCCCTTCTACCTGGTGGCCACTTCCTTCTGAGTAGGACCAAAAGAAGAGACTGGTCCCTGTCCTGGTGCCCTCTCCTCTTCCCTGTCTCATCAGAGCTTGTGTGGATGAGCAGACTTGTCCCTGGTTGCTTGCTGCTGCCAGCTCAAGTGTGAGTGCTGCTCTACCATGCCTTGTGCCACCTTGTTCCATGCCACAGTGCTGCATGTCCTTTCTGGTCCCTGTGTGCCCAGGTGGGGGGTCCTGCCCTGGCATATCTGTACTCAGGTGTGGCTGTGGAGAACGTAGGGGCGGTGTGTATGGGACTCAAGGGCCCAGACCTGCCCAGTACAGTACACATGCTCTGTGCCTAGTACATAGCAGGGGTTGTGACAGCCTGAAATGCCTTCCCCACACAATAAGCCCAGGTTGCCTTGCCTTTCTGTGCCTGGGCTGGGTGCTTGGCATGTGCTTTAGCCATGCTTAACTGGTGGCTTGCTCCAGAGTGGGGGAGGCCAAGCTCAGCCTTGTCTTGGACCACTTCCATCCCTGCAAACTCAAGACTTGAGCAATAACTGCCCCTAGAATCAGCTCCTGGGCTCTCCTGCTTGGGACCAGCCCTGCTCTGGCCCAGCATGAGTGCAGCGGAGGATGGTTGTAGTGTGCCCTGCTGTGGTGTAATAGTGAGCACCTCTTGCTTCTGTGGATCCAACTGGGCCTGTGTGAAGGTGTACTCTGCTCTACAGCAGGGCAGTGCAGCAGCTCTCCTGGGCCTGGTGCCCATCACCTGCTCTGGCTGTAACAAAAACCATGCTGGTGGCCTTGAGGATGAGGTGAAGGAGCCAGGCCCTGTCAGATTGGGCTGCTCTTCTATCACAAATAAACAAACAGAAGGAGAAATGGCTCTGCCCTCTTGTTTTTCCTGGCTTGCTGTGCTCAGAAGCTGTTCCAGGTGCGTGGTCCTGCCCACAGTGTGGTTGGAGGCAGGGCTGGGAGAAGCAGCTGGCATAGCAGGTTTACGTGTTGGGGGGACAGGGCGATAGCAGTGTGCTGATGAAGCAGATGGCAGATTGTTTCCAAGAGCTTTGGTAGAGCAGTGCTCAGGGCAGGAAATGTGTCAAGGCTCTTGTTGTGAAAGTGGCTCCACCCTGTGAAAGAATGGCTGGGGTGGAGCGTGGGTGTGGGCTGGGACCTGGGCCAACTGCCCAGGAGGAGCTGCTGCTTTTCAGAAATCCTAGGGAGCCGAGGTCTGGCAGAGCAGGGACTAGAGACCCTGGAAGCCCAGGGGATGGGGAAACAGCAGTCTGTTGTTTTCTGCATCTACTGAAGCCAAAGCTGCTTCTATCTGTGAATGTCCCTGCAGAACACAGATGAGGCTGGTCAGAGGGAGGTTTATGTTGCTGCTGCCTTGCTCTTGCTACAGCAGTGCATCTTCCTAGCTGGGCTCTGCCCTCTCTACCACCTGAGACAGTCTGGTCTTCAGTGCTATTGGGGTGCAGTGCTGCCTTCCCCATCACCTTGTGATGGGGCCCTCCTGAGCAGTGAGACCAGCCTAGGTGCTGACTTAAGCCTGGGAAGAGGGGTGGGTAGCCGGCTAGGCTGCTTGTGGCTGGGAGGAGTGCATTAGACCAGCAGGCCTCCCAAAGCTGAGTTTCACTGTAGGTTTGATTGGGGTGTGGGAGGGCTTCAGTGGATGTCCAGCCAAAGCCCCTAGAGCAGGGCTTGGTGTGAGGGAAAGCTCTGCTGATCCTGCCTGAGCTGCTGTCCACTTCAAGGTCATGCTCTGAAATGTAGGAAAAGCTCTTCAAGTGAGCTGAACTGGTGTGACCAATGTCTAACTGCATGTGGGCATCACCCATACATGGCGCAGTGCCCTTGTATGTATGAAGCCTTAAAATGGGATCTGGCTTCTGCACTGTGTAGCGTTCTCCCTGTTGTTGCTGCTTCTCTGTGGGCAAGGACTGGCAGGAGACCTTGTTCTGATCCCTGCTGAAGTGGTGTGTAACACTAGTTCAGTTCTCAGAAGTCACCACTTCAGGAGCTGTGGGTGATGGTCCAGCTGAGATGGAGCTTTTCCTGTCCAGCCTCTTTCTCCCCCCTGCCAATCTGTCTCTTGGTATAGACAGGACTGTCTTTGCTTTTGCTGAAAATAGTAACAATACTTTAAGCTACTTATGCTTGGCATTTTAAAATGGGCTGTTCCCTACGTGTGCTCTGCTCTCCCTTCCTCCAATTGTTCCTGTTAGTGTGATCTTTCCATGGGCTGGTAATTTATACCCTGTCATGGTCAGTCTGGGCTGCTGCTCCAAGCTGAATTCACACCTTATATGGCAGTGTTTCCTGGGCCTGCTGGGTCAGTGCCCAGTTCCTTCCTCTGCTCCTCTCTCCAGGGCAGTAGGACCAGTATGGGGCCAGAGGAAGACACTGCAATATCATCATCCTCCAGTAATGCTCAGAGGACTTTCAAGGGGTGTGTAATGCACAGCTTCTGGGGGTGGGTATGTGCTAAGGAGAGAGGCAAGACAGGCTCTGTCTGAGAGATAAAACTGCTATTACACAGGAGTGAAGAAACTACACGAGCTTTCAGGCATGTAAAGCCTTCCTTCCAGGGTCAGGAACCACTGGAAGCCTTAATCTGCTGTGGGGCCACGGAGCAAGTCTGTGCTAACTCCCAGCATTAAGCTGCAAGGGTGTGGGGCAGAGCTCTGACAACAGCAGCACAGCTCTGGGGAAGGACCAAAACTTGCATGTGGGTTCCTGCCCCCTTCCCCATTAAATCCAGCTGCTGCCCTAGGATTTGCTTTGCAGAGGAAGGAGAGCTGCCTCTTTCTCCCCTGGGCCTCTGCTGCTCTTCTCCAGGTGGCCAAATGGGGATGCACCAACAGCCCCTCTGGGAAGGTGCTGGGTTCAGCTGCTGCAAGCTGCTTTTTGAGACTGCCCCATCTGAGTGATGGGTGTGGGGCTGTTGTGGTGGGTGTGGGGTGCATGCTGGCTGCCCTGGGCACAGCACAAGTTGGTGCCAACGCTGCCCACCTTTGAAGGCTCCAGCTTAAAGCTCAGGAGGTGGAGGAGGAGCCTGGCAACAGGTACAGCATGGTACTGTGCTAAGAGGAAGGTGAAAACAGTTAATAATTCACCCTCAGCTAATCACAGGCTGATGGGAGGCACAGGCTTTGTTGAGCTGCTTTGCACAGGCCAAGGTGCTAATCAGCTGTGCAGTGTCCCTGGCTGTGCTGGTGCAGCTGAAGGACAGGCTCGATGGGTCTGGTACCTCGGACACCATGGCTCCAATGTGCAGAGCAGCATGGCAGCTGTGGCCCTGCTGGCTTTTTCTCAGGTAAAGGCTCAAATATGCTCCCTGCAACTTGTACCAGCACAACTGAGCCTGGAAAAAATGCATTTTCCAACTGCTGGGGAGTCAAGCGCTACCAAATGTCAGCTGAGCCCTGCTGCCTGCTTCCCTGCTCGCAGCCTCAGCTTGGTAGCAGGGCTTCCCCTCAGCAGGAGGGGAGGACAGAGATCAGGGCTGTTGGAAGAATACGTGGCTAAGGGGTGTGCACTGGCTTGTTGGTACTTTGGGAGCCTCATGTACGATGTCCAAGCTGGCTGTGGCAATGTAAACTAACCTTTTCTTTTGCATAAGGCTTCATGCTATTGCCAGCTCCTTTCTAGCCTTTGGGGTGATTATAGCTGTTGCTGTATGTTTCCAGCCCTTGCCCCCCTCTTTTTTTCTAATGGCATTTGCCTCCTAAATTCAGTTCTAAACTCACTGCAAAAATAGCTATTCTACCCTAGCACCGTAAGAGCAGACAGCGTTGGCTGCAGCACAGAGGCTGTGTGTAGCAGAACAAGACTAACAACTGCTGTGTGCAGGTGACACTACAGATCAGACTGCCAAGAGCAAGTCCCCACACTGCTCTGGCGTGGGTGCTCGCTGCTGGTAGTTGCCTGCAGAGGCACAGTAAGGCCCCTCTGGCCAAGAGGCAGGACACAGTAGAAGCTGGGGACACAGACATAGTGTGCTCTCAGTTGAGCCTTGCCCCCCCCACAGCTGGCACCAAAGCAGGCAGCAGCTGGGCAGAGGGCCCTCCCTTAGGCAGGGGCCAGTTTAGAGCTGGTTCACTGCTCTGTGGAAGCTGAGGCATACTTCCTCCTAGTCCTGCTTCAGGGCTGGAGCCCTGGGAATGGTCAGTTTTGACACAGTCTAATCAGGGATGGAGGGGTAGGAAGTCACTCAGGCTCTAACCCTTTCTTCTAAAAGAAACCAAGAGCACAGACACTGATATAGAGATCCTCTTTGTCCCCTAACACTTCTCCTCTTACCAGAGCCAACTGGCCCATGATTCTGGTTTGAGAAAGTTAAGAGGTACAAAGAAAGCTGGGTTTTCCTGGTAAAGCTTTGCTAGAGGAGGGGCTGAGTAGGGAGATAGTAGGTGCAAGCAGAGAGCCCATATCTAGGGTCTTTCAATGCAACAGCTTCTCCCTGTGGGGTGCAAGCAAGCCACAGCCCCTCTAATGCAGCTGCACTTGTGGTCAGCTTTAAGATGTGGCAGCTGACACACCTGCCTTAGCTGGGACAGATACAGAAGTGTAGCCATTGCACAGCATCCTTCTTCTCCCTCCCAGGACTTCAGGGCTGTGCTAGGCTCAGGCTGCCTGCACACTAGCCCTAAAGAACAAGAGCTCCACCACTTGCCCAAATCCTAAAGGGGCTTGGTTCTGTAAGCCATAGCCTTTTCTCCTATCAGACTCTATAAAAAAAAGTCAAATTAAAGCAGTTTATTAACATTTAAAATACATAACAGTGTGTAAGCCAAATTTACCCCCTCCCCACACAGCCCTGTGCACTCATCGGATGCCCTGGTGAATGATGCTGCTTTTGGCACTGTTTGCCTTCTCTTTCTCCTTCTTCTTTATGGGGTCCATCTCAAAACAGCGCCAGAGCCGCAGCGTTTCATCAGCAGCTGCCGAGGCCACTGTTGCACCATCAGGGCTCATAGTCAGGTTCAAGACTCTGGCAGTGTGACCTAAAGAGGAGATATGCAGCCAGGGCTAGGCTGATCACCACATGCCCTGGTCTCTCTCTGGTTCTGCCACAAAGGTCACTTTTACTCCCATACGCTCCATGAGCCCCACCAGCTTGCATAGCTCTCCCCACACCATTGCTGCAGCAGCATGAATTCACACTCTAGGCATGCATTTGGAGCAATAGTGTTTCTTCAGCAGCCCACAGGATTGCCTTCCTCTAGCAGAATGCCCCTGGACACCATTCTGCACCAGGCTAGACCACCAGTCTGCTCAAACCAAGGATTACATCTGCCTTCAGCCTCTAGCAGCCCTCCCTTCCCCAGGCAAATGGCCCAGCCTACCTCGCAGCTCAGTGACCTTGGCCATCGTTGGATACTTCCATATAACCAGCTGATTCTGTGCAAAGCCATGGCCTGAAATGAACTCCTTGTAGTTTGTTGACCACAGGATAGAACAGACCTGCAAAGAGGCAGTAATGCAGGTAAGACAAGCTGCTTGTGCTGATGCTCACCACCCAGAGATGAGCATGGTCCCCTCCTTTTCCATGGCTCTGGGCCTCAGGAGCCAGCAGCTCTCTATAGGTGTCCTGCCAGGAGGTGTTTATCTCCAAGCTGATGTTCATGCCTCACCTGGGAATGGGCATCAACAGCACTGAGGCAGGTGCCAGAACACACATTCCAGATGCGGATGTGTCTGTCGCTAGTCCCACCTCCAGTAGCTAAAACATTTGACTGCCATGGACACCACGCCACAGCCTGAAAGAAAAGGGTTAATTCTAAGTCATGCAAGAGGCAACCTGTGCACAGCCAGTGCTGCATGTCTGCCTTGCACACAGACATGTGCCCACACCTCACCCACAGCAGCCCTGCACTCACCTTGACAGCACCCTGGTGCTGAGTGAAGGTCTGTATGGGAGCAAAGTCTCCACTGTCTCCCTGGGTACATGGCCAGATGTTCACCAGGTTGTCATTGCCACCACTGGCCAGGTAGCGGCCATCTAGAGACCACTTGAGTCCACACACCTCCTGCGTGTGGCCAGCAAGTGTGGCCACATGATGCTCAGCCACTCTGACATCATGGTGGTGGATGTGGCCAGTCCGTGCCCCACTGCAGAGAGAAGGCTTGCAGGGTCAGGGTGGCACATATTTTCACTAAAATCCATTTTTGTGCTGTTGCAAGACTGCCATACCTGCCACCGGGTTTCAGTGTTACCAGCATTACTGGCCTGTTGGTGCGAGTGAAGCAGCCACAGAAGCTCTTCACAACTTCAGCCCAAATGGCAAGAAAGAAGAGAGGCCTTCTCCCCACAGTCCCAACAGAACAGGCCGAGTAAGAATCCCAAGCCAGGACAGAAACTCCTCTCTGCCATCCCTAACCTGCAGCACTTTCAGATCTAAGATAGGAATCTGCAACAGCTGGACACTGCCCTTCACCCACCCACTGCTTTACCTGGAGAGGATGTAGCTGTTCCAACTGAGGGACCCCACACGGGAAGAATGGCTGGTCATATTTCGGAGACGTTTCTGCTGCTGTATGTCCCATAGCTAGAGAGGCAGAGCAATAAGTTCTCCAGAGGATGAGGAAACCCAGCCCTGTCGCTTTGCCCTAGGAACCTCACTGCACAGACTCTGGCATTCAACCTTGTCAGTATGAGAGCAGAGATCAATTTGTATCTCATGCCTACAGAACAGAAAGTAACTCCAGGCATCAGAAAACCCCAAAACCAAACCCTGCCTCGCTGCTGCAGTTGGTCACTGGCACTGGCTGGATGTGGACATTTCCACCCCACACCAGTCAAGACAAGTCAGAGTGCACTGCATCCTTCTTGTGCTAGCCAAGTCTCTGTCCCAAGGCCCCACAGCTCCAGCAATCCCTAGACAACACCTCTAGTTTTACTCCTGCACTCACCTGGACCTCAGCATTACTTGTGCCAACAGCAAGGTAGTTTCCTTCTTTAATCCATGACACAGAGGAAACATAATCATCTGGATGCTCCATCTGCAACAGCTGGATAATGTCCCCAGAAGTGTGATTCCACAGATAGACAGAGTTGTCCAGAGCCACTGCCAGGAAGTTCTGAGAGCTCCAATCAATGAGATTCAGGTCTGCAATTTGGAAGAGCAATACAGGTCACACTGCAGCTTTACCTGGAGAGCCTTGCCCTTCACCAGTGCTGATGCCAGATCTTCCACCTGCACCAGGGGTGTGCGCACACACGCACACGTGTGCGCACACATGCACACAGGTAAGGGACAGCTTTCTGGGTGTCACCATGCCCAGTTAGTGGGGTCAAGTAGCCCTGATCCAAGTCACCTACACAGCACTCTGGACCACTGTTCCTATAAGGCTACACAGGGACACTCCAGAAGTGTTCCATGCCAGCCTGGGTGCATAAGATGCTGAAACAGCCCCATTAGAGCTCCAGTTCCTTGAGCCACACCATCCTAGGAACTGCACTCCAGTACAGAATGATCTCCATGCCCAGCACACAACATTGCAGCCTACTTACAATAGTCATTGCGGATCTCTGGTGCGTCCAGGATCCGGTCTGGCATTGAGGGAATGTATCTGCCATTCTTCCTGCTGGATCCAGGTGTCATTTTCTGACTGTAGAGCACTTTCAGGTTATTCTGATAGCCTGTGTGCAGAGGAACAGATTTGTTAACCTGAGTTGCTGTTTCCTCCCAGCTGAGCGCTGCTCATCCAATTGGAAATCCCTTCCAGTGAAAATGAAGTCCTAGAAGAAGAGATGCACTCAGAAGAGCACAGTATACTAACATCATTGGCAGTATGAACTGCTGATCCAGGGTGAGCTCCGATTTCCTAATTCACAGGAACAAGTTTAACTGACAAGGTTTTCTGTATCCCATTATGTTTAGTGACAGTTGAGCTACAAAGTGCACAGCAGAGAGTTTGAAGCTTTTGCAGACATGAGGAAGGTTTGCCACCTGCAGTACAAGTGAGCAACTGGCAGTCATTTCAACTTTTGTAAATAAATTCACTGTAGCTGTTATGCACCCCCTCAACCTCAGGAAACCTAAGGACGGAGACTCCAGTGTGCACAGGAGCTCTTAGAAGAAGCCAGTTGATCTCTCCTGTGTCCACACACAGGGCCTCTGTGTTGCTGTTCCCCTGCCCAGATCTCTCCAGCTGAGTCAACTCACGCAGACCCTGTATCATACCTTCTGGAGCATTCTGTGGCTTTCCACTTAGGCGGAGAATCTTTGCCTCTTCTATATCAAAGCCATTCAGATTCACTGCCCAGGCTTTCTGTTGCTCCTACAGAGAAAAACCACCCTTGGTGAGATGCATTTGAAACACAAAGCCTATGCTGCACTTAAAACTGCAGCTGGCAGAGCATATACCTAAGCCCCCTTCTCCTCAAATCGGGAGGTATACAGCTGTGCTGTGGGAGTCGGCTACAGACAGGCAGGTCAAAGTAGTTTTTCTTCAGACATTGGCACGCTGTCCTGCTCACATTATCATACAGAAGAGTGGCAAATTCATTGTTTCATTGCCAGTGGGGAAAGCCACGGCCACAAGGGCCCAAATGCTTCATAAACAGATTTCAGAACACAGCATACACATTCCAGAATAGCTCCCCGATTAGGCATTGTCCTAGAATAGTTACCACCAGCAGTTTCACTGTGCACAGGCTCACAGCTTCGTGTCTCTGTAGCCTGCTATATTTTAAAGCCTCATTAGCCCGAAGTTGAATTTTGCTACTCGAAGTGGCACAGACTAGAGTGAGCGGAAGCAGAGGTGTAAGGCTCTGTGCTCTTCCCTGTGCCTAGGAAAACATCCCTACAGAGCACCTATGCTCAGGCTCCTGTGTAGCAGGTGTGTACCCATTCCATTTGCAGGCTCTACAGGTTCTACCTCATCCCAGGCTCCTGAAGCCCAGAGCTGGAAGCAGTGATGGCTGGGGCTGTCAGCCACTTGACAGAACTTACAGTTTGCTTCTCTGTAAAAGGCAAGGCCAAGAAGAATTAGGTGTTTGGTAATGATCACTGTAGTAATTGTAACTTAGCAACATGCTCACCTTCTTGGTAGGGGACTCCTCAGCAGGGTCATTCTCTTTGCTTAGGAGGAAATTGGCCATCTCCATCTGCATAGTGCTGCGGTTGGGAATGTAGCGATCCCCCCCGGCCTTTGTTGGGGTGCTCTGGATTTTGGATCCAGATTTACCTGCATTCACATGCATAAATATTGTTTTACAGCTATTGAACAGCCTGCATTCGAGCTTTCAAGAGACAGCAAACCCAGCACTCTTCCACATCACATCTACCAGACAAGTTCCAGACAAGCAGGACTGAGAGCTCATGCCATCTAGTCACAACTAACTCATATTTCTGGCCCCCTTGTATAATGGCACTAAGCTCTGGTTAGGGACTGCCAGGAGACAACTCCTGGAGTCTAGTGCAACAATTTCAGAGTTCACAGATAAGGGGAGGATGCAAAAATACCGTTACAGCACAAAAAGCTGTCAGCAGACAGTCCTACCCACACTTGTCCCAACACACAGCTGTGCCAGCAAGGCTCAGCTGGGGGGTCAGCAGTTTACCCAGCCCAGTGCACAGAGCTCCGCCCACCTCATGCTGGGGAGAAGAAGGTGGGTGACTCCTAGGAGCCACGCAGTGTAGCCCACCTCCTCCTGCCGGACCAGGAGGCCGGCAAGGGCAGCCTGGCACGGAGCCCAGAGCCCCACGGCTACAGCCCGGGCAAACAGCCCGGGCGCCGCTCCCCCCCACCCAACCTACGCCGCTAGTCGCCGCCGCTCACCGGGTGTTCTGGACGGTGTCTTGCTGGAGCTGTGGGAGCGATTGGCCGGTTTCATGGGCGACACGCCGGCGGCGGGGCTGGGCCCGGGGGCGCC